TATAACAAAAACTATTTGAGACTTTGGTTCCCAAATCTTTTTGGATCCTTTTCCTATAGTACCCTCGATCTTAGACTTTCTTCTCTAGTTCCTTTTAACATTACATCTGTTGGGGTGATGATTATTTTTACTACAAATGTTGCAAAGAATAGTCTTAAGTTTGGAGAAAGTTGTTTTTGATTTCTCCTTCTCAAGCCCAAGACCACTTTTGTCACATCGTAATTTTTTATGCTTTAAAAGCATGTTCATCTTATAAGATCAATCCACAAACTTAGCAAGATGCTACCTAAGTTGTAGGTTTTCAACTTGCAATGTTGTTACCTCCGGTGGTTCATTGCTTGTGATTTTGTGTTTGAGAGTCTAGATCTCTCTAGTAGTGTTTGACAAATCATTCTTGAGTTTTTCATATTTTCTATTAGTAAGGATTTGCATTTTTCTTTAAATTTTGTATACTCAAGAGTGTTCATGTGAGAGTTTGCAATAAGGGTTTCATAAGACATTTCTTCTTCATAAAATCTTTCAGAAGAACTAGAATAGGAATTAGAGTCAGATTCTAACGTAAGCAACTTGAGCAACAACAAATTTTCTTATAACACATGTTCAACTTATCACCAATTACAACACATACAACTTATTGTACAATACAACTTAGCAACTTCAACCAAACAACATTCTCAATATCAACAACAATAAGTAAATAATGCATTGTCACACATATCAATTACGAAGATCTCATATAACAAAGGTGAACAATTTAAATGGTTTGAACCTACCAAACCATATCATGACCTATTGCAACCAAATCAAATATAGACGATGTTAGACCTCATTAGAATATCAGGTATATAGCTTAATTAAACTGATTTCTCAAGTTTCCTTGACTTTTACCTTTTGACGTTTGACTTATATTATTTTATTTATGATTCATTTGTTGTTTAAGATTTATTTGTAATTACATTATATACTTATTTTATTGTTATTGATGGGCTTGTTAATTTTAATATTATTTATGAACTTATTTCATTGTTGTTGATGAACTTATTAAATATATGTTCCATTGCACATTTGAACAATTTGATTCATTATTAGTTTTATAACACTTTTTTTAATTTTATTTGATCATAAAATTTGAAAAATTAAATTTAAAACAAATAAAATAAAAATGATTGATATTTTTTTTAAAATGACAAGTTTGAGATTTTAATCCAATATAACAACAAACCCAAATCAATCTAATATATTTTTCAGCATGTTAAGAACAAATTAGTTGTATTTACTATTTAGTTGAGTTGAATTTACTCATCTGACACTTCTCATCTAAATGACATTATGCTTAGATCTCTTAAACCACTTCAAGCCTTATATATATATAATATCAATTGAAAAGAAATTTTTTATCGATTATGTATGTGAATCCTTTATTATTATTATTATTATTATTATTATTATTATTATGTTTTATATAAACTCCGGTTGCCAACTTCACGCTGCTTGATCAAAAGATGCTGATTCCTTAACAGTTAGTTATCCAACTAAATGAAATGCCATATATTATATATACGTAGACGCATGATAGACTTTTCCATGTTTTTTTCACTTTTCAATATGTCAAACTATGGAATGTACTTACTTGGACGGGTTAAACACTTCCATTTCATGTAAATGTTTGCATATGATTAGTAAGCTATCATAATGAATATTACGACTTTAATTTATGCTAAGAAACTATCATAAGATGATTGTCAAGCCAAACATGAGTTTTCATGTATGTAATATAATATACCTAAATTGCATCAACATTTATTGGAATCCTTTCTCCCATTCTTCCTTTTCACTTTATCTTTCTTTTTATCACTAACCACTCTTTTAGTTTGATTATTCCGTTGTGAATATCATTGATACTATAATCATGAAGATACGTTTCACGGCTTAAAATATTACCTAGCCAAGTTTTGAAATGATATTATTAAATAAGTGTTGAAATGATTATCCATTGCTATATAATATAAATGTGACACTTGATGCCATCTTTTTAAAATTGACTAAACTAATGAACGCCTTTTAACATAAATTAAAAAAAACATTGGTGTGAAAAAAATAAATTAAAAAATTATATATTATAATGCATGTGTATTATTTGGCACATGTGTCATAAGGTTAGATCCTTCAAACATTTGGTCAAAGTTGGCTTTAGTTCATAAATTTTAAAAATAGTGATTTTCGTTTCTATTTTTTCTAATTGTGGTAAATTTCGTCCTTGGTCAAATCAAAATAAAAGATAAGGTCAATCCACCACATTTCAAAAATACAAGGAGGAAAATCATTACTTTTCAAATATACAAATTAAAATTAAATTAAACCAAATTTTAAAGGACCTAAATCACGTTATATTAATTGTTTAAACTTAAGGTAAAAGTTTGACAAAATATAGTGTAAAATAATTTTAAATCATAATTTAATTAACAATTACTATATATGAAAGATGAATTTATTAGCATTTATAACTATTATCTTAAAAGTCATATAACACTTTTCTTTAACTAGTTAACATTGTAAAAACTTTACACCGATCGATAATATATATAGTATTAAAAAAAAGTTGCATGTACACGAACTATAATAAAATTTTAAATTGGTAAATTAGCTATGAATTATGATGCAAATGTAATAGTTTTATCAGTCAATAAACTGCATTCAGTTCAGATACGGAATTTAAGCATGAATAAATTTTATGACAACGTGATATATTGATATTGGTAATGTCGATCCATCACTCCATCCATACGTAGTATATTATACTGTATATATCACAACATCACTAATATATTGCAGTTAATTATGCAGAACTAAACATGAAACATTTTTTTTCTTCAAATTTTTCTTTAGTTCAATCCCCATAAAATCACACGAATAACATAAAAAAAAAAAAAAATTAAATGAAGGTATAAAAACAAATTTCGCGAGAACATACAAAGTTATTTCCTCGATAGATTAATAATAGTTTTAGTAAACTATGGGCAAGTTCGATTCTCCATAATTTGCTTCACCCATGCATTTTTCATTCTCTTATCTCTCAGTCAACACTCTTATAAAGATCTATCATAAATATCTCCTAAATACTTTTATTTTCAAAATTATAAATATTTTTTAAGACATTTCTCTCTCTCTCAATAACTTTTCTACCATGTCTCCTAACATATCCATATTTTTTCTACAATGCACATATTAAATATTTATTATATATACTAAATTTTATAATAAATAAAATATACAAATAAATATTATGTTTAAATATATAAATTATATTTAAATTTTATATAAATAAATA